GAGAAAGTATTTAGAGAAATAGAAAATATAATGAATATAAAAATAGATAAAAGTCCTAGTATAGCCTTACTATCATTATATAACGATAAGCAATTGAAAAAGGAGGATAAAGAAGCGATAACAAACTTACTAACTATAGCAAGACTGCTTATAGCAAGGAATTGGAAAAAAGAAATGAATATACAAATAGAGGAGTGGTATAAAGAAGCATGGAAAATAGCAATAAACGATAAATTGACATGTATATTAAAGGTTAAAAAAGGTATATGGAAACAAAGCGATTTTGATGCTGTATGGGGAAGATTTGTGGTAAATGGATTAAAAAATAAGGAAGGAAAATTACCGTCACAAGAAGAAATGAAATTTTGGACAGATGAAATGTAAGAAGGGTGGCTTGAAATGGGTGGAGGGGAGCACTGTGGTAAAGGGGGAAAAATGAGAAAAAGGGGGAGAAATGTTAGAGTAAAATAATAAAATAACATGTTAAAGAGGTTGATGTACAAAATGTAATAGTATGTAATAAAGTGATAAATCAATAAAAATTTAAAAAAAAAAGAAAAAGAAAACATATTATATAGATAATATTTGTGATTCTTTTGGACGAACTGATTTTTGCTGTAATTTGTATGAATTGTTTTTAATGTATTTTATATTGATGATCTATAATGTTTTTCTTATTGTGTTGAATCTTATGTTGTTAGCCGGCCTGAGTCCCTCCTCGGAGGTCGAGAAGACCGGGGTATAAAACTCTAAATAAATAAATAAGTATGGAACCCTGTGCAGATGGTTGGTCAATGCGACTTAAGCAACGTGTAGTCATTGAATTCTTGACAGCAAAAGGTGTCACCCCAAAGGAGATTCATCAGAGAATGCAAGCTGTTTCTGGTGATTTTGTGGATGTGAGTACTGTACGTTGTTGGGTGAGTAAGTTGAAAGATGTTGAGGTAGGAACATCTGACTTGCATGACAAACAAAGAGTTGGATGTCCTGTGACAGCAACCACTGAGTTTCATAAGCAAAAAGTTGACTGGTTGATTCAGGATGATCGTTGTATCACTAAGAGAGAAATTTCAAGCATAATCTGACTTGGCCACAGTGGTACACGTTTTGGTTACATCCCGTTTAGATTACTGCAACGCTCTCTACGTGGGGCTGCCTCTGAAGACTGCCCGGAAGCTTCATTAGTCCAACGAGCGGCAGCCAGATTACTTACAGGAGCGGGATACAGGGAGCATACTACTCCTCTGTTTCACCAGCTCCACTGGCTGCCAATTAGCTTCCGAGCACAATTCAAAGTGCTGGTGTTGACCTATAAATCCCTAAACGACTCCGGCCCAGTTTACCTGTCCGATCCTCCCCTATGAGCCATCAAGATTGCTAAGATCGTCTGGAGGGGCCCTGCTCTCGATCCCACCGGCCTCACAGGCGCGGCTGGTGGGGACGAGAGACAGGGCCTTCTCGGTGGTGGCCCCTCGACTCTGGAACTCCCTTCCACTGGAGATCAGAACTGCCCCTTCTATCTTAACGTTCAGGAAACAGGTGAAAACCTGGCTTTGGGGATTGGCATTCAACGAATGAGCCATGATCCTGTGATATGGATGGATGACGACGAATAATGACTTTGATGACGACTGACCACTGTAATCATATGATTGTATTTTTGCCATTTTAATTGTTTCAATGTTTTAATGTTTTAGTGTGATTTAGAAATATGATGTTTTAATGACGGTCTGTAATATTGATATTGGAAACCGGCCCGAGTCCCCTTAATGGAGGTGAGAAGACAAAACTACCAAATAAATAAATAAAAATAATCAGTATTTCACAAGAACGTGTGGGTCACATTATTGCTTTACTTGGCTATCGGAAGATCTGTTCACAGGGGTGGCTCAACCCATTACGCAAAGTAAGCATTCGCAGTATAGTTGTTTTTGCCCTGGGGCGCTTTTGAGGCGCTTTGGGGGAAAATAGACCTTGACATTTGGGAGTTGTAGTTGCTGGGATTCATAGTTCACCTACAATCAAAGAGCATTCTGAACCCCACCAACGATGGAATTGAACAAAACTTGGCACACAGTTCTCCCATGACCAACAGAAAATACTGGAAGGGTTTGGTGGGCAGTGTCCTTTGGTTTTGGAGTTGTAGTTCACCTACATAAATCACTGTGGACTCAATGATAGATCTGGACCAAACTTGGCACTGATATTCCAAATGTGAACACTGGTGGAGTTTGGGGGAAATCGAATCCAGAGATTGCTGTGAACGCATACAATGATGGATCTGGACCAAACTTGCCACTGATAATAATAATTGTGTATATATATGTATTTGACAAATAATAATTATATTATTATTATTAAATTTATTATTATTATTATTATTATTATTATTATTATTATTATTTATGTGCCCAAATGTGTCAAACCTTTTCAGAGCGGCGCTGCGGGGCTTGTTCTCCCGGCGCGGCTAGGAGTGGAGCGGGAGGCGCCTTGTGGCCGCGGAGAGCAGAGCGGCCGGAGCAGAGGATTCCCGGCCGCTATTGGCGGAGCGGCGCCGGGCGTGGCTAGGGAACGCCGGCATTCCCTGGCCACGCCCACCCGGCACTGCTCCGCCAATAGCGGCCGGGAACCCTCTGCTCCGGCCACTCTGGTCTCCAGAGGACCCACCTGGGAGGCTTCTCCCTCCCACACGAGCAGAGCGGCCGGAGCAGAGGGTTCCCGCGATTGGGCAGAGCGGCACTGGGTGGGCGTGGCCAGGGAATGCTGGCGTTCCCTGGCCACGCCCACCCAGCGCCGCTCCGCCAATAGCGGCTGGGAACCCTCTGCTCTGGCCGCTCTGGTCTCCAGAGAACCCCCTGGGAGGCTTCTCCCTCCCACACGAGCAGAGTGGCCGGAGCAGAGGGTTCCCGCGATTGGCGGAGCGGCACCGGGTGGGCGTGGCCAGGCCAGGCCAGGCTGCACGGGCCGGAGAAATGCCCTCAGCGGGCCGCATACGGCCCACGGGCCATAGTTTGGGGACCCCTGCTCTACTGTATAAGGACTTGTCTTCCATGCATCAAAATTTTAAGAAAGCTGTTTCAGTCCGCAAGGGAGTTACGTCTCAAACTTTGCAATGAATGGCAAGATTTCCCATTTGTTAATAAGATGTGATACACATTGTTATAACACAGTATATTCTAACAGTCATTTGTTTTTTATTTGCACTTTATTATTATTTTCTTCTACAAACACTTTAAAAACTAAATCAGTCAGAAGCATTCTCAAAAAAATAAAGGCTTCTGACTCACCTTATTTTTCACTGATGCATAATCACAGTTAAGACACATGGTTGTCACCTGTTCAAGAAAGAACTAAGGCACTATTAACCTGTATTTCACACCTGTATGGGAAATTAAGAGAAAGTGATGGGATGGAAAGGGGTGCTTATCCTTCTCACTTCGCCGCATGTTTCTATTCCAAAGGCTTAATGAGTGTATTTGGAGTGTGAGGGGGGAAGAGATAATCCCTGAAAACATATCAGTGAGAAATAAACAGTATTAAAATGGCTCACTATTTTATGTTTTCTTTAGAGGAAAGTAAGTCAATATCGAAAGCAAAACACTAGAACTGAATTGCTTCATTCAGCAAGTCATCAGCGACAGAAAGTGATTAGGACCTCCGTCTGGATCCGTTCCTCAGTCCCAATCACATTCAGATTTTTTTTAAATGGTTGTTTAGATTTCAAAAAATGCTGCGATTGTTACTCTTCAAAAGACTCGACTCCCCAAACCACCCAGATATTGTTTGTTTGATTTTGCACTTTGGAAAAAAAAATAGTCAAGCCTCGAGGTCAAGATGACTCAAGAAAAAAAAAAATCACATTGCCAAAAAAAAATCAAGCCAAAAACCCAGAAGAATGCAACATGATTGTTGATGGTGATGTATCCTGGCACATCTCTCTTTGCCAAACTCATACCAGTCGCTATCCAGCAACACATGAACATTGTTTGTACAGCTGTCATTTGAAAACTGAAAGAGAGTTCCACTGAATTATCTAAAAGTCAGGGCATGGCTAGAATAACCGTCCCTTGGCAGAATAATGATGGATCCATTCCCAAAAAACAGTGCAATCATGTGGCTGGGAGCCACAACTTCTGCGCACTGACAACGTCAACCAGTTTCCCCTTGATCTTCAGGAAATGCCTCTTGAACTCCAAACCATCGCCCTGCATAGAGAAAAGAAAATGTATCAAAATGAGTGAATACAGAGATATAGCATTATTTCCAATTTTAACTCTACATTTGGCCTTCCCACTGTTTTTAATTGTGTGTTGTCTTATTGATAATGTTGTATATTTTATTGTCTATGTTTTATTTTAATTGCTTGTATTGTTGTATATTTTGCTTGTATTGTTGTGTTTGGGCTCGGCCTCATGTAAGCCGCACCGAGTCCCTTGGGGAGATGGTAGCGGGGTACAAATAAAGTGTTGTTGTTGTTGTTGTTGTTGTTATTATTATTATTATTATTATTATTATTATTATTATTATTATTATTATTATTATTATTATTATTATTATGCTGGTCGCCTCTGCTTAGCCGGTATTGCACCACCTGACATCCGCCGGGAAGTAGCAGCCAATAGTGAAAGGACCAAGGCAGAGACATCTCCAGCTCATCCCCTGTTTGGGTATCAGCCAGCACATCAACAACTTAAATCTAGAAATATTTTTTTAAGATCTACAGAGACACTCGCTGGAACACCTCAGCAAGTGAGAGTCCAAAAGTGGCAGGCTCAAACCCAGAACCTCAACCAATGGCTGATACCAAATGAGAGACTCCCCCCTGGGCACACAGCGGACTGGGCAACCTTGGAAGCCACTGAACAGACTGTGCTCTGGCACCACGAGATCCAGAGCCAACCTTCAGCAATGGGGCTACAAAGTTGAATCCACGACATGTGAGTGTGGAGAAGAGCAAACCACAGACCACCTGCTGCAATGCAACCTGAGCCCTGTTACATGCACAATGGAGGACCTTCTTGCAGCAACACCAGAAGCACTCCAAGTGGCCAGATACTGGTCAAAGGACATTTAACCAACTACCAAACTCACAAGTTTTGTATTTTGTCTGTTTGTTTGCTTTGTTCTGTTAGAAATGTAATATAATTGACTGGATGCTCTGACACAACAACTAAATAAATAAATAAATAAATATTATATAGATATCAGCTGTGGCATCTATTAGACACAACAGAAGTGAGAAAGAGGCATTATCATTACAATACAAAAAATTGCAGTAGGATGAATGATCTGTACAGATCAATGCATCGTTTTCTGTGGAATAAGTGATATTTTAAAAACAATAGGAGCCTAGTGTCTAGATCTAGGGAAGTCATGCTCCCCATGCTCTATTCTGCCTTGGTTAGACCACACCTGGAATACTGTGTCCAATTCTGGGCACCACAATTCAAGAGAGATATTGACAAGCTGGAATGTGTCCAGAGGAGGAGACTAAAATGATCAAGGCTCTGGAGAACAAGCCCTATGAAAAGCGGCTTAAAGAGCTGGGCATGTTTAGCCTGAAGAAGAGAAGGCTGAGAGGAGACATGATAGCCATGTATAAATATGTGAGAGGAAGCCACAGGGAGGAGGGAGCAAGCTTGTTTTCTGCTTCCCTGGAGACTAGGACACTGAACAATGGCTTCAGACTACAAGAAAGGAGAATCCATCTGAACATTAGGAAGAACTTCCTGACTGTGAGAGCCGTTCAGCAGTGGAACTCTCTGCCCCGAGTGTGGTGGAGGCTCCTTCTTTGGAAGCTTTTAAACAGAGGCTGGATGGCCATCTGTCAGGAGTGCTTTCAATGCAATATTCCTGCTTCTTGGAAGAATGGGGTTGGACTGGATGGCCCATGAGGTCTCTTCCAACTCTATGATTCTATGAAATAGTGGGGGAAATTGATCAATCTAAATCAGTGGTTCCCAAACTGTGGACCACAAGAACTAAAATATGGTCTGCAGCATCACTGTTACTACACTATTGCAACAAGAGCAACTGGTCTTGCAAAACCCTCTTATACTGCCAAGGCATATTAAATATAGTTTTCTGTGGGAGAGCAGATGGCGACTACTGGATGGCATATGTTCTGTATCAGAAACTAGAGCTGATGTGGTCTATCCAATGCAATTTTCTGAATCAGCACCCCAAATAACCAAACCGAATCTAAAGTTGACCAAAAACTGATTCGTAAACCTTTTGGTATTAATATTGGAGAGTGGTCCCTCGTCAAAGTGGTCAAATACAGGTTGGGAACCAGTGATCTAAATAAAATTAGATGTATATCCAGAAAATCGGGATTTAAAACTCATCTGAAGACTTATTGATTCCAGCAGGCCTACCAAGTCAGTTTTAACTACAAATTTTAAGCTCATGTCTTGTGATTAATCTACTTTAACCTTTGTTCTGTGTATTGTAGTACATGTATTTCATAAAATATGTTTTAAAATGTGTATTTTATATTATGTTTATGATGAGTTTTTTCCCTTTGAGCCACAAGGAGAGCCAGTGAGAAATAATAATAGTAATAGTAATAATCAGATTGACAGAGTTTTGGAGCACAATACTCCTGATCTTACAATTGGGGGGGGGGGGGGGAGGATGGATTGTCGATGTTACAATCCCAGGCAACAGCAGATTGACAAGAAGCAACTGAAAAAGCTGACATGATAAGAGGATTTAAAGATCAAGTAGATTAAGATTGGCTATAGAAGGAATGGTTAAAAAAGAGGGAGCAGATTGGCTTAGTAAAGATTCAGAAGAAGTGGAAGAAGAAATCTGGAATATATTTTTCAAACAGTTCACGAGAAAAGAAATTAGGGAAATCAGAAACCCAATGCTGAGCAATACATTAGAAGTATGGAACAAATATAGGAGAAAGTTAATAACGGATGGGTCAATTATAACCCCAATTGTAATGGAAAAGAAGTTTCCAAAAAATCTAAAAAAAGTAATGGATAAAAAGTTAAGGGAAATTTTTTTAGACATGATAGGGGACTGGACAAAGGTGGGAATGAAGAAGGAAATGATCATGGAAGAGTTCAAAGAAATAAAATTGGCATGGTTCCATTGTATACAATTAGAACAATGGCTCAAAAATTGGGAAAAAAATAATAAAAATGGAAGCAAACTTAACCAATTTGAACAAATAATACAGAATGGAAGGGTTGTAGAAGAGCATGAAAATTTGAGAGGAACAACTAGTAAAATATATAAGATAATAATTGAAATAAAGGAAGGAAACACAAAAAACAACACCCTTAAAGAGGTTTGGGAAGAAGATTTAGGGATAAAAATAAACGAAACAGAGTGGCAACAATTATGGAGACAAAGACATTTAAAAAATTTATCAATACGGGTTAAAGAAAATTATTATAAGCTAATATGGAAGTGGTATCTGACACCAGTAAGAATAGCATATATAAATAAAAATAATTCAAAAAATTGTTGGAGAGGGTGTCAAGAACCAGGAACATATATACATATGTGGTGGCAATGTAAATATGTAAATAATTTTTGGGAGAAAGTATTTAGAGAAATAGAAGATATAATGAATATGAAAATTGAGAAAAGTCCTAGTATAGCTTTATTATCACTATATAACAATAAACAATTGAAAAAGGAGGATAAAGAAGCGATAACAAACTTATTAACAATAGCAAGACTGCTCATAGCAAGGAACTGGAAAAAAGAAATAAATATACAAATAGAGGAGTGGTACAAGGAAGCATGGAAACTGGCAATAAATGATAAGCTGACATGTATATTAAAGGTTAAAAAAGGTATATGGAAACAAAGTGATTTTGATGTTGTATGGGGAAAATTTGTTGTAAATAGTTGGCCACGGTAGTCCACGCTCTGCTTACATCCCGTTTAGACTACTGCAACGCTCTCTACGTGGGGTTGCCTTTGAAGACGGCCCGGAAGCTTCAACTAGTCCAACGTACGGCAGCCATGATACTAACAGGAGCAGGTCGCAGGGAGCATACAACCCCCTTGTTGTACCAGCTCCACTGGCTGCCGATTTGCTACCGGGCTCAATTCAAGGTGCTGGCGTTGGCCTATAAAGCCCTAAACGGTTCTGGCCCAAGTTACCTATCCGACCGCATCTCTCCCTATGAACCCACCAGGACTTTGAGATCTTCCGGGGAGGCCCTGCTCTCGATCCCGCCTGCATCACAGGTGCGGCTGGCGGGGACGAGAGACAGGGCCTTCTCGGTGGTGGCCCCTCGGCTGTGGAACGCCCTGCCCACAGACATCAGATTGGCTCCCTCATTGATGGTATTCAGGAGAAGAGTGAAGACTTGGTTATTCGAACAGGCGTTTGAATAAAAAGTGCAATGAATTTTAGGAATGGAACTACGACTGACGAGTTTGGATCATGATTCTAGTTATGAGACGCCAATTGATTGATTGTCTATGATTGTTAATTGCTTAACTTGTTTCTGTGTTAATCTGTTTTTAATTACCTGTTGATACCGCATTGAATTTTTGTATTGATTGTTCGCTTTGTTTGTGCTTGACTGTTGTAAACCGCTATGAGTCGCCTTAGGGCTGAGAATGGCGGTATACAAGTGAAGTAAATAAATAAATAAATAAATAAATAAATGATTTAAAAAATAAAGAAGGAAAGTTACCGTCACAAGAAGAAATGAGATTTTGGAGAGATGATATGTAAAAGTTGTGGCTTGAAATGGAGGGGGAGGGGAGCACAGTGGTGGGGGGGAGGGGGAAAATGCTTAAGCAGAAGAAAAAGATTATATGTTAAAGAGGATGATGAATAATATGCAACATGTAACTGCTATAAACAAATGTATAACAAATGTAATAACTATGATAAAACAATAAAAAAATAAAGATCAAGCTGCAAAGACTCTGGCACAACCCAGTAAATGTGATCCCAGTGGTGATTAGCACACTGGGTGCAGTGCCTAAAGACTTTGGCTAGCACTAAAAACAATTGGTGCTGACAAAATTACTGTCAGCTGCAAAAGGCCACCCTACTTGGATCTTTACACATTATTTGTCGATACATCACATGGTCCTAGACACTTGGGAAGTGTCCGACGTGTGACTGAACACAAAAGTAAGCATAGTGATCTTGTTTGCTGTGTACTAATCTTCTTATGTATCTAATAATAATAATAATAATAGATCTTGTCTGCTGTGAACTCATCTTGTTGTGCTTCAAATAATAATAATAATAATAATAATAATAATACATTTTAGTAAGCATTGTATTTTATATGAATATTTGTCAATATAAGTATGCAAAAAATAAAAAGAGATGATAGATCATAATGCTTTCTTAACATTTTTCAAAGGAAAAATAACCTGAGGCATCTTTTACTTAAGCAAACAGAAAAACAGCAAACTCCACAGAAGGCAATATTGAAAATGCTAAAAATAACCTTACATTTAAACTTACTTACTTAAGTGTAGTGTTCTAATCAAAACAAAATCTATATGTACATGGAAATAAACTACACAAACTGTTAGCGAAGCTGTGGAGACAGAAAAAAGGTGTTTCCAATGTTCTTGGAATGAAATGTGTTCCTTTATTTGGTATACCTTAGAAAGACGGAAGTCCACAAGAATTTTCTCATCCATTTCCACTAAGTTTGCCTTGAAAATCAGTTTGTTGTTTCTCCTATCAGTTGTTGATATGGTAACCTTTGAAGGAAAAACAACAACTTTATTGGGGGAAATTATTTTCCTCCAAAGACTTGCAACGCAATCTGAAATATCCCCGACTCAATATCACCACAACCGTCTCCTCTGCTATACCTGGTTTGTGCAGCCTTTCTTCCAGATATAACCCATCTTATCGCAAACCTCTTTCAGGATCTCATATGATTGTTCCGCATCCAACTTCAAAAAGAACCGGGTCATTCTCTTCACCAAGCGCTGCCATGGATTCTGAGGGAAGAGAAAGAAATATGGAAAAGAACAATTACAAGTACTATTCTCTTCAAACAAAGATGATTTTAAAATGCGAGCTGAACAGAATAATAGAATCATAGAGTTTGAAGAGACCTCATGAGCCATCCAGTCCAACCCCCTGCCAAGAAGCAGGAAAATCACAGCCTTCTCTTCTGCAGGCTAAACATGCCCAGCTCTTTAAGCTGCTCCTCATAGGGCTTGTTCTCCAGACCCTTGATCATTTGAGCCACCCTCCTCTGGACACATTCCAGCTTGTCAACATCACCCTTAAGTTGAGGTGTCCAGAATTGGACAGTGTGGTTCCAGGTGTGGTCTGGCCAAGGGACAATAAAGGGGTACCATGATCTAGATCAGAGGTCTTCAAACGAAGGCCTGGGGGCCAGATATGGCCCCCCAGGGTCATTTACCCAGCCCTCGTTCAGGGTCAACCTACGTCTGAAATGGCTTGAAAGCACACAACAACAACAGCAATCCTATCTCATCAGCCAAAAGCAGGCCCACACTTCCCATTGAAATACTAATAAGTTTATATTTGTTAACATTGATCTTCATTTTAATTATTGTATTGTTTTAAAGTGTTTTTTGCACTACAAATAAGATATGTGCAGTGTGCATAGGAATTCATTTATGTTTTTTTTTTCAAATTATAATCCGGCCCTCCAACAGTTTGAGGGACCTCTGGCCCTCTGCTTTAAAAGCTTGTGGACCCCTGTTCTAGAGGCATTCTCTCCTGACGTTTCGCCTGCATCTATGGCAAGCATACTCAGAGGTAGTGAGGTGTATGCTGAATATTTGCAAACCTTACTAGTATGGCTCAGTCTATGTACACTTTATAGATAATATAAAATACATTGTCTTGATTTTATTCACCTTTATGTTGTGTTCTTTGTGAAAATTGCACACCTTTTGGAAATATAAATATCTCAAAAAGGAGGAATAAGAATAATTTCTGATCCAGTGTTGTTTGGCAATGAAATATGTTGCCCTGGAGTCCAGTAGTCTCCTTCTCTGGAGGTTTTTAAACAGAGGCTGGATGGTCAGATGGGGTGCTTTGGTTGTATGTTCCTGCATGTACAGGGTGCGGCAGCATAACTTCCTTTTTTAAAATGCGCGCCATTCAGTCGGTTGAAGACGTAGTGGAGCGCTAGTGGTCTCCTTCGAGAGGCGGGAGTATAAAGTTTTGTCCTGACACAGTTCAGTCGCCATCATGCGTTGGAACAGTGAGGAGAGTGCTTTTGCCGTTGAGGCCTACTTTTCAAGCGGATGTTCTGTGATCGCAACCCAGCGTGCCTTTCAGAATAGCTTTAATTTAGCCCCATTGGACCCTGTCCTGGACCAGAAATCAATTGTGACGTGTGTCACTACATTCAGACAAACTGTAAGTACGACAAGACAAAGAACTGGAGTCCCTCCGCCCATGAGATCACCTGAGAACATTGAGGTAGTGAGAGCTTCAATGTTGCAATCACCACGGCGTTCTGCGCGCAAACATGCGTCTGCCCTTGGACTTTCCAATCGTTCTGTGAGGAGAATTCTTCGTGATGATCTTCATTTCCATCCTTACAAAATGGCGATTGTGCAGGAACTTTCTGAACGTGACTTCAATTCTCAGAGGAACGCCTGTGAGGTTCTTCTCGAAGTCATTCCTGAGGAAGTTTTATTTTTTTTAGTGATGAAGCCCATTTTCATTTGTGTGGATCCGTCAACAAACAAAACATGCGCTACTGGGCTGACAACAATCCTTGAGAATTGCTTCAAAGCCCTTTGCATTCACCTAAAATCATAGTGTGGTGTGCAATTTCCTCAGCTGGAATCAACCATTTTCGTGGAGGAAAATGAAGTCGCAGTGACAGTGAATTCGGACCGGTATGTAAACATGTTACAGGATTTTTTTTCCCATGGCTAGATGGGTTGGACTTCGGGGACATTTGGTTCCAACAAGATGGTGCAACTGCACACACTTCAAGAGCATCGATGGCTGTTTTGAGGGAACACTTCCCAGAGCGCCTCATCTCAATTAGAGGGGATTAGGAGTGGCCAGCCCACTCTCCAGATTTGGCCCCTTGTGATTTTTTTCTATGGGTTTTTTTGAAATCCCATGTTTATGTGAACCGTCCAAGGACCCTACAAGATTTGAAGACCAACATCCAGGAAGAAATTGCCAACATAATGCCTGCTATGCTGGCAAGAGTCATGACAAATGCCAGAAATCGATTTACTCAGTGTATGGAGAATGGGGGACGTCACCTACCTAATTTGATCTTCAAAACTACGTAAAACAAAACTTTGGGTATGCGGCTACATTAGAAAAAAATTCTGATTCATACAATGGGTTTTATTACGTTTTGAAAAAATGGAAGTTATGCTGCTGCACCCTGTAGAATGGAATTGCACTGGATGACCCTTGGGGTGTCTTCCAACTCTATGATTCTATTATTCTAACAGAAAAGCCACAGTAGTAAACTGCACAAGATTACCTGGGAGGAGCCTGGAGTGCCCAATAGTTGGCTGTTCAGCAGCATGTGTTCAGGACAGGCTGGTTGGGAGAAGCTGAAACCTTGCACTAGCTTGTCAATATTAGCAGGGCTATTGTCCCAAAAGGATAGGCCAGTGCCAGGTTCTGGCTGAGAATTGGAATAGGTCCTTCTCTCCTCACTGCAACAATGAAAACAACATCAGCATTACTACTTACTTCCCTCTTCCTTTGTGACATCTATACACATAATAAAAGTGAAAATGTGTGTATGTGGCAGGGGGTAGGGGTGTCTGTTTACCCAGAAAGAGCCCCACCTCCACAAACAGGCTATAGTTCTCACTGAGCTGGAGATACCCACGGCCCTTCCAAAACTGACATTGCAGGTTACCATGAACATGTCCAAGAGCCCTGCCAATGTCCCCCACAAACGCCATCCTGCCCATTACCCAAGTGAAGGCTTTCAGGCAGGGACCATTTCAGCCTAGATTTTCTGTTTTTCCTCCACCAAAGACACCTCCCAGGGTTCATTTCCCTCTCATTTGCATAACCCTGGCCACTGCCTCTTCCTTCCCTAACCTTTTCCCATGGCACACAGCAAAACAGAGGAATTGATCAGCAACTGAACATTCTGTAGGAGTTTGGGGGACTGACTCCACAGAGTGGAAGTTGTAGTTCACCCTGCATCAAGACACAGCACTGATACTCACTTCCTGAGACCACTGCGACCCACACCAATGGTTGATCAAGCCAAACTTGACACACAGAGCCCCCATGACCAACTCTACATCCTTTTGGAGGAGGATGGACCATGGACGATGGTACTTGCATACGGGAGTTGTAGTTCACCCACACTCACTGAACCCAGATGACATTGGATCTAGACTGAACTTGGAGCACAGGTAAAGAATGCCTTTCTCAAATAACCCGGGCACCGCCGGGTCCCCAAGCTAGTATTTAATATTTGTCACTGTTTAATCTACTAACAATTCCTCAATCTCCCCCTTTTTCCTTTCTTTCTCCTGTTTTCCTTTTTTCATTTTTTGTTGTATAAACTGAAAATTTTAAATAAAAAAATATTTATAAAAAAACCTAAACAAACAAAAAAGATATAAATATCAGCTGAAAACAACAAAGCCAAATGCATTTCACCCGTGTGTCTCTTTCACTGGAGAGAAGTCAGTATCTGACCGAATGTGCTTCGAAAAAACACCTGGAGAATCAGAGGGTTCTGTGGAGATTCGAGACCGTTTTATGCCTGAAGAGAAAGATATATTGTCACCATTATTTTGAAAATAAGTTTTAGATATTAACTATCATATAGTCTGCAAAACCTGGACTGTCTACAGATGTCACACTCAACTCCTACAACGATTCCATCAGTGTTGCCTCTGAAAAATCCTGCAAATCTCTTGGGAAGATAGGCAGACAAATGTCAGCATGCTGGAAGAAGCAAAGACCACCAGCATTGAAGCGATGGTCCTCCGCCATCAACTTCTCTGGACCGGACACATTGTCCAAATGCCCGATCATCATCTCCCAAAGCAGTTATTATATTCCCAACTCAAGAATGGGAAATGGAATTTTGATGGACAGGAAAAGAGATTTAAAGATGGGCTTACAGCTAACCTTAAAAACTCTGGCATAGACACCGAAGACTGGGAAGCCCTGGCCCTTGAGCACTCTAACTGGAAGTCAGCTGTGACCAGCAGTGCTGTGGAATTCAAAGAGGCAGGGATGGAGAATGAAAGGGAGAAACATGCGAAGAGGAAGGCATATCAAGCCAATCCTGATCAGCACCGCCTTTCACCTGGAAACCAATGCCCTCACTGTGGAAGTACATGCGGATCGAGAATAGGGCTCCACAGCCACCCATATGTCCACCGCCAAGACACTGCACTTGGAAGGCCATCATACTCAAGCAATGAGGGATCGCCTAAACTTCTAAGAATATTTGAAAAAAATATTTTTTAAAAAATCACCTTTTTGTAAAGGTTTTGTGTACCATTTGTCTTTTTTAATGTCTGCTATGGTCAGTCTGGACGCAGGGTTTTCAGTTAATATTTTGATAAGCAAAGCTGCAAAGAAATAAAACAAAATATTTGTTATACAAGGCCAACAACTTTAGAAATAGTCCATGGAGTGCTACTAACATATTTTATATCTAAACTGAGATGTCCTGCCTTGAGAAATTAGAGATTAGATATCCTTTTAAAAAAAAATTCTTTGGACCAAAATGAAGTACCGTATATACTCGAGTATAAGCCGACCCGAATATAAGCCAAGGCACCCAATTTTACCACCGAAAACTAGGAAAACAAATTGACTCGATGTATAATCTGAGGGTGAGAAATGAAGCCACTACTGGTAAATTTCAAAATAAAAATAGATAGCAATAAAATTACATTAATTGAGGCATCAGGAGGTGAAATGGTGTTGTATCTATATCTATAAATCTGTTAGGTTGGTTCAACCGGACAGCAAAACTCCACAACCCCCCAACGAAACTGTACCAAAATTGCCATGCCCATAACACAACCCACAAGGTACAAACATATCTACTCAAAATGAAAAACAACACAACAACACACTCACAAAACGGCAAAACAACAAAACTCAAAAAACCCCAACAAAACTTAACCAAAATTGCCATGCCCATAACACAACCCACAAGGTACAAACATATCTACTCAAAATGAAAAACAACACAACAACACACTCACAAAACGGCAAAACAACAAAACTCAAAAAAACAACGAAACTTAACCAAAATTCCCATGCCCATAACACAACCCACAAGGTACAAACATATCTACTCAAAATGAAAAACAACACAACAACACACTCACAAAACGGCAAAACAACAAAACTAAAAAAAAAAAACCAACGAAACTTAACCAAAATTCCCATGCCCATAACACAACCCACAAGGTACAAACATATCTACTCAAAATGAAAAACAACACAACAACACACTCACAAAACGGCAAAACAACTGAGCATGCGCATTGGTGCCCAGCCGCAAGTTCCCTGGCGCGCGCACACAGTCTTCCGGCCAACGTTCCCTCTGCGGAAGCCATGCCCACTCCAAGCCCCGCCGCGCCGCTTCCCGCACACACACACCCTGCCGCACGCACACACACAACCCCACGCTCCATCACTCCCCCCGCCACCACACACACACACACGCTCCATCACTCCCCCCCGCACACACACACGCAACCCCACTCCCCCCGCCGCCGCACACACACACGCAACCCCACGCTCCATCACTCCCCCCGCCGCCGCACACACACACACAACCCCACGCTCCATCACTCCCGCCCCAATCTTACCTCCTTTTACTTCACGCCACCTCCAAACCCCACCCCGCCCCTTCCCGCCCTGTCAAAATCCAGGAAAGACAGGAAGGAAGGAAAGAAGGAAGAAAGAGAAAGGGAAATAAAGAAAAGGGGGAAGGAAGGAAAGTTAGAGAAAGAAGGAAGAAGAAAAGGAAAGAAAGGAAAGATGGAAGAAGAAAAGAGAGACAGCAGAAGAGAAAGAAAAAGGGGGAAGGAAGGAAAGAGGTAGAGAAGGAAGAAATGAGAGACAGAGGGAGGGAAAGAAAAAGGGGAAGGAAGGAAGGAGAGAAGGAAAGAAAAAAGGGAATGAAGGAAGGAAAGAGGGAGTGAAGGAAGAGGGAAGATGTAGAGAAAGAGGGAGGGAAGGAAAGAAGGAAAGAGAGAAGGAAGAAAAGAGACCAGAAGAGAAAGAAAAAGGGGGAGGGAAGGAAGGAAGGAGAGAAGAAAAAAGGGAATGAAGGAAGGAAAGTGGGAGTGAACGAAGGGGGAAGATGTAGAGAAAGAGGGAGGGAAGGAAAGAAGGAAAGAGAGAAGGAAGAAAAGAGACCAGAAGAGAAAGAAAAAGGGGGAAGGAAGGAAAGAGATAGAGAAGGAAGAGGAGAAGGAAAGATGGGAGGGAAGGAAGGAGGGAAAGAAGGAGAGAAAGAGGGAAGGTTGGCCACAGCAACACGTGGCGGGTAAAGGTTGTTATTTCTATTATTATTATGCTATTATTCCTATTAGACCCTGGGGGAATGGGAGAGGTGTCAGGTCCCAGAGGCAATGCATTGCATTATTGTTATTGTTATGATGGTGGTGAAATAAAAGGAAATAAAAAGTGAAAGAAGGAAGCAAACAGGGAGGGAAGAAAGGCAAAGGAAGAAAGGGGGAGGGAATGAAGGAAAGAGAGAAGGATGAAACCAAGTAGTGAAAGAAGGAAAGAAAGAGGTAGAGAAGGAAGAAAGGAGAGAAAGGGGGAGGAAAAGGGGGAAGGAATAGGTAGGTACCTCTCTTTCATAATAGTCCAGATATCTACCTCAACTTTGATAAGTTTTACTATAGGCCACAGCAACGCATGGCAGGGCACAGCTAGTATTTATATAAAATTTGAGATAAGACTGCCCAACTCTGATTAAATCATTATTCTAACCTTCTTCAATGTAAATGTATTTACGTATCCTTCCAACAATAATAAAGAGAGTAAAATAATGACTGTAATAATAATAATAATAATAAAGTAAAATAATGGAAATGCAATAATAACAGTAATAATAGAGTAAAATAATAAATGTAATAATAGAGTAAAATAATAAATGCAATAATAATAAAGTATAATAAATGTAACAATAACCATAATAATAGAGTAAAATACTGTAAATGTAATAAAATAATACATGAAATAAAAATAATACTAATAACAGAATAAAATGATAAATAACCTTGATTCGAGTATAAGCCGAAGGGAGCTTTTTCAGCCTAAAAGAGGTTGAAAAACTAGGCTTATACTCGAGTATATACAGTATCTCTCTAGTTTCACCAGAAAGCTATTAAACCACAAACCAGATACAGCATCAGTAAATCAGTGAAATACCCAGTGGCAAGGAATCAATCTTCTTCCATGGTGCAAGATATGATTTCTGTTCTTTCCAATCACAATATTCTTGGCAAGTTTCAATAGGTTGATCCCATGGTAATTCTGCCAGAAAAGAAACAAACTGTCAGTAATCCTTAGTCTTATGCGACAAATAAATCCAAACTTTGGTAAAAGTTCTTACCTCCTGCCAACATGGCAGTGAGTACTATTCCACAAGACCAAACATCAACTGGCTCCGCATGGAATTCCTTTCTTTTAAGGACCTCGGGGGCAACGTATGGCAGCGTGCCACAGATCTTGTTCAACAATCGCTCACGTCCATTGTATTTAAACACAGTTGCAAGGCCAAAGTCAGATATTTTGAGATTATCTAAACAAACACAACAGGAAAGCAATTACACTAATGATCATTATAACTAACACAGCAGCCGAGCAGTTGAGAGGGAGTAGATTTTAAATTAAAATTCTTATACGGGGAAAAGTATATATGAAAACAATCCCAACCACTCGCTGCTCCGCCCAAAAATTATAGCGATGACACCACTACTACAGGCTAGCTCACCAAAGTATAGAGGGAGAATAGTTGTTGAACCAACTGAATATTTAAAAGTTAGGAAATGGGAACCACTGGAACTGAGAGACTTAAAATGTTTCTTTAAAAGATGTCCGCTGCCACTATATTAATAATAATAAACTGGCTGAGATATTATTGAAAGGTTGTTCAGTAACACACTCTGTGTCACCATAGATTTCTTAGAGGCTGTTAAAAGCTGACTTGATTAATGCTTTGACAACAAAGGTATTCACCCTGAGGCTGGTATAAGTTGATAATAATAACAAGAATGTTTATTGAACAGGCTAGAAATATTCAGATGCAAATGCTTAATGGTTTCAGTAAAAATCTGGCATACAAAGCTTGTGGGTACATTTGAGTAGAGATCTTAAAAACTTCTGGGTTACAAGTCTTAAAAGTTCCAACACAGAAAATTGCTTCAGGAAACGAATCTCTGAAAGTAACTCCCACAAAAATCCCCCTTTGAAATCTAGCCAAAACCCTGAACTAGACTTCCGTAGGAACAGAACAGACCACTAACAGGGTACTGCTCCACACAGTATTCTAGCCATATTTCTCTATAGCCACTCTGAATACTACACAAAAGACTGACCCAAAGTTCTTCTTCAAAAACCCAAACTGCTCTCGCTAACACCCAACGTCTTCGCTCTACCCTTTCCAAGCTCCAACTGGCAATCTGGGAACTCAAGCCTCAGTTTAAAAGTCACTTTTTTTCCCTTCAGACCACTTAAGTTCCGCCCCCATATTCCTAACCAATCCTAGCCTTCTAGCTTTCCCTCCAAGACTAGAACACGCCCCCTTAAGGCAAACCTAACCTAAGATGGCTTCTCCCTGTTTCCCTTCTCTGAAATGGATGCTATGGCTTCGCCAGGCCCACTCTCTTAGGCCTTAGGAAGTTAGCATGTCAAGGTAAGGGATTCATTACAATCATCCTGCCTCTTCAAGATTTTTATTTAAAGCACATTCAATTAAAACTGATCAAAACACATGGGCATCGTAACACAGGGGAATCATCTTTAGGGTTGAACAAAGGAACAAGACTGTCTCCGTGTATATAAATAAAATGTAATGTTCATTTGTGGGATTAACAGAACTCAAAAACCACTGGACGAATTGGCACCAAATTTGAGCACAATACACACAATACACCATCACTCAAAAATGGTTTTAGTCATTTGGGATTTGTAGTTGCTAGGATTTACACTTCATCTACAATCAAAGAGCATTCTGAACCCACCAACGATGGAATTGAACCAAACTTGGCATATAGGACTCCCACAACCAACAGAAAATTCTGGGAGGGTTTGGTGGGCATTGACTTTGAGATTGCGAGTTGTAGTTCACCTACATCCAGAGAGCACTGTGAATTCAAACCATGATGGATCTGGACCAAACTTGGCATGAATACTCAATATGCCCAAATGTGAACACTGGTGGAGTTTGGGGAAAACAGACTTTGACATTTGGAAGTTGCAATTGCTCGGATTATAGTTCACCAACAATCAAAGAGCATTCTGAACCCAACCAACGATAGAATTGGGCCAAACCGGCCACACAGAACCCCCATGACCAACAGTAAATACTGTATTTTCTGGTAGTCTTTAGCAACCCTTCTGACACCCCCTTGCAACCCCCCCTAGGGGTTCCAACCCCCAGGTTGAGAAATGCTGCCTTAAGGCCACCCAGTCCAACTCCCTTCACCAGGGCAAAAAAACATAATCAAAGCCCTCCTGACAAAGAGCCATCCAGCCATAGATATGGATAGATATATATGATTCACACACAGAGAGATATAGTATCATAGATTTGAAAGGAACCCCTAAAGAAGGACAATTATATGTTGCATGTTCCAGAGTAAGCAAACAAGACAATCTCCACATCAACACTGACAAAGAAACAACAATACTGTTTACCCACAAGCATAAAGAAATTACGTATCTTAGAAACCAACACTCTGTAGGGAAAAGGTCCGCAAGGCTAAAGCAAAAAACGAGCTCAGACTTGCCAGGGACATTAAAAACAATAAAAAGGGCTTCTATTCTTATGTCAGTAGAAAAAGGAAAAACAAGGAGGCGATAGGACCTCTTCGAGGAGAAGATGGGGCAATGCTGACAGGGGATAGGGAAAAGGCAGAACTACTTAATGCCTTCTTTGCCTCGGTCTTCTCACAAAAAGAGAGTCTTCAACCTCAGCAAGATGGAGTGGATGAGGGATTGGAGGACATCCAACCCCAAATTGGGAAAGAAGTCATCCAGGAATACCTGGCCGCTCTTAATGAGTTCAAGTCCCCAGGGCCAGATCAACTACACCCCAGAGTATTGAAGGAACTAGCGGAAGTCATTTCGGAACCATTGGCAACCATCTTTGAGAGTTCTTGGAGAACGGGAGAAGTCCCAGCAGATTGGAGGAGGGCCAATGTGGTCCCAATCTTCAAGAAGGGAAAAAAGGATGACCCAAACAACTACCGTCCGGTCAGCCTCACGTCGATACCAGGCAAGATTCTGGAAAAGATTGTTAAGGAAGTGGTCTGCAAACACTTAGAAACAAATGCGGTCATTGCTAATAGTCAACATGGATTTATCAAAAACAAGTCATGCCAGACTAATCTGATCTCTTTTTTCGATAGAGTTACAAGCTGGGTAGATGCGGGGAATGCCGTGGATGTAGCGTACCTGGATTTCAGTAAGGCCTTCGACAAGGTCCCCCATGACCTTCTGGCAAGGAAACTAGTCCAATGTGGGCTAGGCAAAACTACGGTGAGGTGGATCTGTAATTGGTTAAATGGAGAACACAGAGAGTGCTCACTAATGCTTCCTCTTCATCTTGGAAAGAAGTGACAAGTGGAGTGCCGCAGGGTTCCGTCCTGGGCCCGGTCCTGTTCAACATCTTTATTAATGACTTAGATGAAGGGCTAGAAGGCATGACCATCAAGTTTGCAGACGACACCAAATTGGGAGGGATAGCCAATACTCCAGAGGACAGGAGCAGGATTCAAAACGATCTTGACAGATTAGAGAGATGGGCCAAAACTAACAAAATGAAGTTCAACAGTGACAAATGTAAGATACTCCACTTTGGCAGAAAAAATGAAATGCAAAGATACAGAATGGGGGACGCCTGGCTCGAGAGCAGTACGTGTGAAAAAGATCTTGGAGTCCTCGTGGACAACAAGTTAAACATGAGCCAACAATGTGATGTGGCGGCAAAAAAAGCCAATGGGATTTTGGCCTGCATCAATAGGAGCATAGTGTCTAGATCTAAGGAAGTAATGCTACCCCTCTATTCTGCTTTGGTTAGACCACATCTGGAATATTGTGTCCAATTCTGGGCACCACAATTCAAGAGAGATATTGACAAGCTTGAATGTGTCCAGAGGAGGGCGACTAAAATGATCAAGGGTCTGGAGAACAAGCCCTATGAGGAGCGGCTTAGGGAACTGGGCATGTTTAGCCTGAAGAAGAGAAGGCTGAGAGGAGATATGATAGCCATGTATAAATATGTGAGAGGAAGCCACAGGGAGGACGGAGCAAGCTTGTTTTCTGCTTCCTTGGAGACTAGGACGCGGAACAATGGCTTCAAACTACAAGAGAGGAGATTCCATCTGAACATTAGGAAGAACTTCCTGACTGTGAGAGCCGTTCAGCAGTGGAACTCTCTGCCCCGGAGTGTGGTGGAGGCTCCTTCTTTGGAAGCTTTTAAACAGAAGCTGGATGGCCATCTGTCAGGGGTGATTTGAATGCAATATTCCTGCTTCTTGGCAGGGGGTTGGACTGGATGGCCCATGAGGTCTCTTCCAACTCTTTGATTCTATGATTCTATGATTCTCATTACTTTATTTTCCAGATCACCAGACTGGGCCACAGCAACGCATGACAGGGAGTGGCTAGTAAGTATAGTAATTGCTTCAAAGCACACTTATGCAGAAATACTAAAGCTCCTGTACTTGCTGGACAAACTAGTGAGACAGAACTTACTAAGTAATGACCCCACAGCTGTGGAACTTCAGTGGGAGATAACCAAGGAAGGTTACAAACACTTCTAGTAATCCTTCCCAAAGCCTAACACTCCGAAGTAATCCTTGCCAAAGAAAATGCTAGAAAAGGCATGGATTAACCATCCACTGAAAGCCAAGGCAAACAAATGCACAACACATATGCGGGAAATCATTTCTCCTTACCTCTTTCATCCAGCAACAGATTCTCAGGCTTAATATCCCGATGTGTTACTCCTAGACTATGTAGGTAGACCTTTTAAAAAATGATATAAACAATTATAGTATATACAGGCAATTTCCAAGTTACAAACATCCAACTTATAAATGACTCAGAACTGAGACAACAGGAAGTGAGAGAAATCAACCCTTAGGAAGGGAAATTCACTCCTGGAAGAGATATTATCATGGGGGAAAGTGGTCTCCACTGAAGCTTTCTCACCAATGGTTGTTTCCACAAGCCACATTTTTCAAAAACCAATTATCAAAGAGACAGAAAGTGGGGTGAAATCTTCTGAACAGGGGCACACAAAGGAAAGAACCTCTGAGGTCACAACCTCTGAGGATACCTGCCATAGATGCAGGTGAAACGTCAAGAGAGAATGCTTCTAGAACATAGCCATATAGCTTGAAAAACCTACAACAACCCAATGATTCCGGCCATGAAAGCCTTGGACAATATATTTTCAAATGTTATTTTGAATTTTGAAAAAAAAAGCAGTATAAAGAAACTTACCACACCACCTATAAGCTGGTGAAAAAACCTCTGTGCTTCTGCTTCAGGCATCCCTATATCAGGCTCTATAGAAAGACATCGTATCATCATTTAGTATCTAATAGAATGAACATTATGAGTAATTTGCTTCACTTACAAAATGCATAACATGATTTTAATTGAAGGCAAGTCCAGTGAATGTATGGCTCTTCAGTTCCATGATTACACTGTTCTACAAATTTTCATTTTTTTCTCAGTTTCGGAAACGAAATGTGCCGTTTCTTAATACGTTTAACATGCTGACTTCAAATATCATAATTAAATGTGTTAATTGGCTCTGGTTTTTATGCAACAGCTATTTCAATTTTCTCCACAATAGGTAATTCGTTAATATTATGATAATGCGCCTAACCTTACTGCATGTATATAAACCGTGAATATTTACTAAATTTTAGTCAAATTATATTGCCAATAGTTTATACATGAGAAATATTTATTTAATTAGTCTATTGTTTATGTTTGTGCAGCAAGAAACTATATTAGTAGGCCTGATGCAGTTGAAAAGTCTGAAAGTTTAAATGTCGCTTTAATCGTGACTTTAGTTTATATCCTGTTTGCTTCTCTTGACTTTTCTTTTGTATTCAAGGAAAGGATTGTCTCTTACAATGCTCCAGCAGTAGTCTGACAGCATTGACGGAGTCCATTTGCCTTGATATCTTTTTTCCATAGTGCTTTATTTACACACGTGCGAGGCATAACTACAGTAAAAAGAACAATGTAAAACGATGTTTAATAGGCTTGGGCAATCCATGGTTCTAAATGGTTCTAAAGTACTTACAAAACTAAAGTTCTGGTGGTGAAAATTTCAGAACTCTAACAAAACTCTCAAAATTTCATAATAAATGGCAGTTCCTAATTGGTTCTGTCATTAAAATCACCAATAATGAAATAATAATTAAATTTTGAAAGTTTTGTTAGAGTTCTGAAATTACATCATTTTCAAGATGTAATAGTTTGATATGTGATATTTAATGTGAATCCCCATATGCCAACAACAGCAACAATAGCAATTAAGTATTTTAATATATGAGTTTTATACATAATGTAAATGAGACATAGTTTCATTCATTATATATCTGGACATTCCACAGACATATAAACATCACTTGTCTAGTTTCCAAAAGACCTCACAACCTCTGAGGATGCCTGCCATTATTATTTATTATTTATTTATTTCACGCACGTCTACCCCCCGAGGGGGGAATCAGGGCGGTTTACAAAAGGCACAATTCAATGCCAACATAAACATAAACAATGGATAAAACAAGTATATAGCAATTATAACAATTAAACAGTCACTTTATACAACAAAATCAATAAAATCAATAAAACCAGTCAGTACTCAGCGTTCACTATCTCAGAGTCCATAAATTCATTCCATATTGTCTAGTCATCATTGTCCTTGTCTAACTGCCAGATTGCCCGAAAGCCTGGTCCCACAACCATGTTTTTAATTTCCTTCTGAAGGAGAGGAGGGATGTCGATGACCTAATTTCCCCGGGGAGTGAATTCCACAGGTGGGGGGCCACTGCCGAGAAGGCCCTGCTCCTCGTCGCCATAGATGTGGGTGAAACGTCAGGAGAGAATGCTTCTGGAGCATGGCCATACAGCCCGGAGAACTCACAGCAACCCAGAGACATAGTTTAATTTAATAATAATAATAATAATAATAATAATAATAATAATAATAATATTTACTTATACTCCACCATCTCCCCCAACGGGGACTCGGGGCAGCTTACATGACGCCAAGCCCAAACAACAGATTACAGCAAAATAAAACCAAAAACACAAGCAAAAACATCATAATTACATAAAAACACATGAATACATTAGCAATATAAGATTACAATAAACACAATCACAGTGATAGTTGGAGGGCCACATGGGGAGAATAAAATGTTAAAAAAACTCGGGTGAGATAAAAGGAGGAGCAGGTTATTTGCAGAGGGGAGATCATAACGAGGTTGTGGAACTAAGCTTTCCCACAAGTGGGGGGGGACGTGTACTCCAGTGACAGAAACATTGAGGGGAGCAGTAGTATAAAGTTGTGTACCTACTCACCAAAAGCGCAGCGGAGGCAGGTTTTAAGGTTCTTTTTAAAGGTTTCTAGGGTAGGGGCTTTCCTGATCTCTCCAGGTAATGAGTTCCAGAGTCGGGGGGCCACAGAGGAGAAGGCTCTCTCCCTTGTGCCCACAAGACGAGCTTGTGAAACTGGCAGGGAAGAAAGGAGGGCGTCCCCCGAAGATCGAAGGGCACGGACTGGTTCATGGAGGGAGATACGGTCACAAAGGTAGGCAGGTCCCAAACCGTTTAGGGCTTTATAGGTGATAACCTGCACCTTGAATTGGGACCGGAAAATAAATGGCAGCCAGTGGAGTTCCTTAAACAGGGGGGTCGACTGCTCCCTGTAACTAGCCCCAGTTATTGATCTAACTGCCGAACATTGGACAAGTTGTAGTTTCCGGGCCGTCTTCAAGGGTAGCCCCACATAGAGTGCATTGCAGTAGTCCAGTCTGGAGGTAACTAAGGCATGGACCACCATGGTCAAGTCAGACTTCACGAGGTAAGGTCGCAGTTGGCACACGACTTTTAATTGTGCGAAGGCCCTCCCGGCCACCACCGACACCTGCGCATCAAGCGTCAGCGCTGAATCCAGGAGGACTCCCAAACTGCGGAACTTGATTTCAGGGGGAGAGCAACTCTGTCCAGCACAGGCTACCACCCAATCAGAAGATCTCTTAGCTTTGGGGGGGGGGGGGGGGAAGTTAACTCATGTTCCTACATTATTAAACTCCCACTACTAGAAATCACTCCAGGATATACAATCATCAGTACCTATTCGGTCAAACAGCTCCCCTCCACTGCAGTATTCGAGGAAGAGATACTGAATAGTGCCTTCTCGCCGATGGCCGTAAAACTTCACTATGTTCTCATGACTCAACATTTTGTTGATGCAGATCTCCTTCTTAATCTGTTCTGGGCATTCTATGGCACGCTTCATGTCAACAATTTTCACTGCAACTGCTTCTTCGGTGCGTCTGTTCACTGCCAGTTGAACTCTAGAGCGGGGAGATGGAGAGCAGGGATTCATAAAACATTTCTTCCTTACAGATCATTGCTAAAGGTATGTATTAGTCTAAACCAGTGGTTCCCAATCTTTTTTTGACCAGGGACCACTCTCCAATATTAGTACCGAAACGGTTACAAATCCGTTTTTGGTCAACTTTAGATTCGGTTTGGTTCTTTGGGGTGCTGATTCAGAAACTTTTATTAGATGGACCAGGTCAGCTCTAGTTTCTGATACGGAACATATGTCATCCAGTAGTCGCCATCTGCTCATCCACAGAAAACCATATTTAATAATCTAGAGCTGATGTGGTAGTAGTAATGTTTCGAGGGGAAGTCAGTCTCTTCCCTCCCAACATTGCCTTGGACCTATAAGAGGGTTTTGTGAGACCAGTCACTCTCATTGCTGCGTGGTTTTGAGGCAATGGTGTAGTAATCATATTTTTGTTCTTGCGGACCACTGGTGGTCCATAGACCACAGGTTGGGGACCACTGGTCTAAACCTTATCTGCCATCCATTGTATAATTCATCACTCTAAAACTCAAAGCTGCCTACACAAGGCCAATGTATATTGCTCCATCCCAGTCTTTCCCAGTCGGAGAACAGTAACACATACTGGCTAGGCTTGTTTGATCCAAAAAAAAGGTTCAAAACTCATTTCAGATGTAGGGAGCGCTGGTGGTTCGGATCTAAAGTCAATTCCAATTTTCACAGAAAAAAAAGTTCAAAACTTTGCGAAACTTCGGAGGCTACTGAATCCTTCGTTCAAAGTGTCATTTCCTGTTTCATTGGGTGGTCTTTAATTTGAAAGTAGTTGTTTTACTCCAGAAGGGGGGAAAGCAAAGGGAAGAAATCCATCCACTCTGGTTGAAACCGCTTCTCTCGCTTAAGACTGACGCAGGAGGAAAGGAAGGGAATCCATCCACACTGGTTTAAACTGACGCAGATCCATCCACTCTGGTTAAAACAACTTCTCTCGGTTAAGACTGACGCGGGAGGGAAAGGAAAGGAAGGGAATCCATCCACACTGGTTATACTGACGCGGATCCATCCACACTGGTTAAAACCACTTCTCTTGCATAAGACTGATGCGGGAGGGAAAGGAAAGAAACCCATCCACACTGGTTTAAACTGACGCAGATCCATCCACTCTGGTTAAAACCGCTTCTCTCGCTTAAGACTGATGCGGGAGGGAAAGGAAAGGAAGGGAAACCATGCACGCTGGTTATACTGACGCGGATCCATCCACACTGGTTAAAACTGCTTCTCTCGCTTAAGACTGACGCGGGAGGGAAAGGAAAGGAAAGAAATCCATCCATACTGGTTTAAACTGACGCGGATCCATCCACTCTGGTTAAAACCACTTCTCTCGCTTAAGACTGACGCGGGAGGGAAAGGAAAGGAAGGGGATCCATCCACACTGGTTTAAACTGATGCGGATCCATCCACACTAGTTAAAACCGCTTCTCTCGCGGGAGGGAAAGGAAAGGGAATCCATCCACACTAGTTTAAACTGATGCGGAAGGGAAAGGAAAGGAAGGGAGTCAATTTGCACTGGTTTAAACTGACGCGGAAGGGAAAGGAAAGGGAATCCATCCACACTGGTTTAGAACGCTTCTCTGGCTTGAACCGAGGCTCTGACTCACTTACTGGTTCATAAGAGAAATAGTGGAAAAAGCTTTGGAAAGGCAAAGGGACTTCCATTTTCCTTAAAAACTTCAAAATCACTTCAAAAAGGAAATCTTTCCAAATTTATTCCAATTTCCGAAGATTCTGACCGAACCTAACCATGCCTAGTACCGACACAATTGCTTGACATTTTAGTTTTTTATAATTTGCTATATTTATTCTTGTAATCTGATACTGACAAGTTTGTGAATATGTCGAAGACACATCCGTTTCATCTTCAGTCTGAAAGCTATACTTTAACTCCTGTGTTAAATGTTGTTACCTAAGCCGTACATACTCACTCTCCATAAGCACCTCCATAAGCCGTACATACTCACTCTCCATAAGCACCTTCTCCAAGGATTTGCACTAAGTCCCAATCTTCTACAAAAGGCACTGCCATGATGATGAACAGCACACACTCTACAGATTAAGAAAAGTAAGGGAGTTAGCAAAGTCATGGCACAAAAGTATGGAAATCAAAACATATGTTTTGAAATGGCCTTTCCTCTTTAATGAGCAACAAAGAACACATACTTTATTTTTTATCTCTTTTTTACTTTTTGTAAAAATTATTTTACCAAAAAAAAAAGAGAACATAGTAGGTATTTCTTACAGTAGAACAATTGTAATGTTTTGTAGAGGAAGGCCAACAGATATTTCAAAGAGGGAAGGCAGCCATAGCAGAGTACTTGATGTACCAACCTGGACACAGTATATTATTTGAGAACACAGAAATGCTGGATCACTCTAATAACTACCATGTCAGACTACACAGAGAAGCCATTGAAATCCATAAGCATGTGGACAATTTCAACAGAAAGGAGGAAACCATGAAAATGAACAAAATCTGGCTACCGGCATTTAAAAACTCTAAAATCAGGACAGTAAATACAGAACAACACTAAAAAAACAGGAGAATTCCTGGCAAGAATCAATCAGGGCCAGCTAACACCTCTCAACAAAGGATACTCCCAGGCAGGAAGCAGCCAGGCTTTGAAGCTGCAAAGCAATTCAATACTAATCAAGGTCGCCAATTGCAACATTCACACCTGCCTCGGGCAGACATGAGTTCTTTCTCCTACCCAGGACATTCCACAGATATATCAACCTCACTTGCCTAGTTTCCAACAGACCTCACCGCCTCTGAGGATGCCTGCCATAAATGTGGTCAAAACGTCGGGAGAGGATGCTTCTGGACTATGGACAGACAGCCCAGAAAACTCACAGCAACCCAGTGATTCCGGCCATGAAAACTTTCAACAACAGATATAGTGAGACTTCCATTCTCACAAGTGCTAGTTAGTTACCACTAGCAATGAGAGATTCTGAAAAATTAAGTTCAATTACAACTGGTGTTTCCCTGGTTGACAAATATTGCTCTAGCATTTTCCCTCCTGTAGTGGAATTTGAATTATTCCATGCAATCAAATTTTGTTAACATCTGAATCTCGAAGTATGACAAAGCCATTTTTAAAACCACTACCCCAGTGGTTCTCAACCTTCCGAATGCCGCGACCCCTTAATGCAGTTTCTCCTGTTGTGGTGACCCCCAACCATAACATTATTTCTGTTGCTACTTTGTAACTGTAAATTTGCTATCGTTATGAATCATATTGTAAACATCTGATATGCAGGATGTATTCACTGGATCAAATTTGGCACAAATATCCGATACATCCAAATTTGAATACTGGTAGGGTTGGGGGGGGGGTGTAGTTGCTGGGATTTATAGTTAAGCTACACTCAAAGAGCATTTTGAATTCCACCAATGATGGAATTGAACCAAACTTGGCACACAAAACTCCAAAGACCAAGAGAAAATACTGAAAGGGTTTGGTGGCCATTGACCTTGACTTTGGGAGTTGTAGTTCACCTACATCCAGAGAACACTGTGGACTCAAACAATGATGGATCTGGACCAAACTTGGCACAAGCACTTAATACGCCCAAATATGAACACAGATGGAGTTTGGGGGAAATAGACCTTGACATTTGGGAGTTGTAGTCACTGGGACTCACAGCTCACCTACAATCAAAGAGCATTCTGAATCCCACCAACGACAGAATTGGGGCAAACTTCCCACACAGAACCCCATGACCAACAGAAAATACTTAAGGCCATCCAAATTCAACTCCCCTCATCAGGACAAGAAAACGTAATCAAAGTCATCCTGACAAAGAGCCATCCAGCCATACAGATAGATAGATAGCTAGATAGATAGATAGATATGATTCGCACACAGGGAGATATAGTATCATAGATTTGAAAGGAACCCTTAAAGAAGGACAGTGATATGTTGCATATTCCAGTGTGGGCAAACCAGACACTCTCCACATCAACATTGACAAAGAAACAGCAAGAAATACTGTTTACCCACAAGCATAAAGACATGATATATATTAGAAACCAACACTTTCTCATTACTTTATTTTCCAGATCAACAGACTGGGCCACAGCAACGCATGGCAGGGGACAGCTAGTAACAATATAAAAATTACAATATGTACAGGCACAGTAATAATGGGCAGGCTACATGTAGTGATTAATAAGACAAACTGATTAAAACTAATTAAAACCATTATACCATTATATTGTAATATTATTAGTAATATTACATGTAATATAAATATATAATTATAATATCATATTATGATTAGTAGTAGTATATTGCATTACATTCTAATATTATACATATATACAACATATTATATTATACTAGCTGTCCCCTGCCAGGCGTTGCTGTGGCCCAGTCTGTTGATCTGGAAAATAAAGTAATGAGAAAGTGTTGGTTTCTAATATATGTAATGTCTTTCTGCTTGTGGGTAAACAGTATTTCTTGCTGTTTTTTTGTCAGTGTTGATGTGGAGAGTGTCTGGTTTGCCCACCCTGGAACATGCAACATATAATTGTCCTTCTTTAGGGGTCCCTTTCAAATCTATGATACTATATCTCTGTGTGTGAATCATATCTATCTATCTATCTATCTATCTATCTATCTATCTCTATGGCTGGATGGCTCTTTGTCAGGAGGACTTTATGTTTTCTTGCCCTGATGGAGTTGGATTGGATGGCCTTAAGTATTTTCTGTTGGTCATGGGTGTTCTGTGTGGGAAGTTTGCCCTAATTCTCTCGTTTGTGGGGTTCAGAATGTGCTTTGATTGTAGGTGAACTATAAATCCAATTAACTACAACTCCCAAATGTCATGGTCTATTTTCCCCAAACTCCATCTGTGTTCATATTTGGGCGTATTGAATATTTGTGCCAAATTTGGTCTAGATCCATCATTGTTTGAGTCTTCAGTTCTCTGGATGTTGCTGAACTACAACTCCCAAACTCAAGGTCAATGCTTACGAAACCCTTCTAGTGTATTCTGTTGGTCATGGGAGTCCTGTATGCCCCGGTTGGTTCAATTCTATCATGCTATTTGATTGTAGGTGAACTATAAATCCCAGCAACTACAACTACCTACCTACCTATCTATCTATATCTATTTGCTGGATGGCTCTTTGTCAGGAGGGCTTTGATTACATTTTCTTGCCCTGGTGAAGAGAGTTGGACTGGATGGCTTTAAGTATTTTCTGTTGGTCATGGGGGTTCTGTGTGGGAAGTTTGCCCCATTTCTGTCGTTTGTGGGTTTCAGAATGCTCTGTAATTGTAGTTGAACTATTAATCCCAGTAACTACAACTCCCAAATGTCAAGGTCTATTTCCCCCAAACTCCATCTGTGTTCATATTTGGGCGTATTGAGTGCTGCCAAGTTTGGTCCAGATCCATCATTGTTTGAGTCCACAGTGCTCTCTGGATGTAGGTGAACTACAATTCCCAAACTCAAGGTCAATGTCCCACCAAACCCTTCCAGTTTTTTCTGTTGGTCGTGGGAGCCCTGTGTGCTAAGTTTGGCCCAATTCCATCATTGGTGGAGTTCAGAATGCTCTTTGATTGTAGGTGAACTATAAATCCCAGCAGCTACAACTTCAAAATGACAAAATCATAAGTTTCTTCCTTCCCTCCTTCCTGCCTCCCTTCTTCCTTCCTTCCGGGAAACAGGTAGAGAAACGCTCCCACTTTCCCTGCCCGCGCCGCCATTCAGCCAAGCCCTCACCTGCTCGCCTAGTTCGCAGCCGTTTCCCGCCATACACTGACGTCAGCCGCAACGCAGCAGCGATTGGAGGAAGGCGCCGCGAGGAAGCGATGGCGTCACTCCGGCAGCGCCGACTCCGCCCCCTGCTGAGGCCCTGGAGGCGGGGCAAAGAAGAAGCCTCACGCACCGCCACCCTCCAGTGGTTTCTGACTTCAACTCCCGGAAGCCTCAGCTGCCTTCTGCAATGGCCGAGGATTCTGGGAGCTGGAGTTCAAAACCCTTAAAGGGCCAGAGTTTGGGAAACGCACCTTCTTTGACACCACTGGAAACTATGGCCCCTTCCACACAGCTGAATAAAATCCCACATTTTCTGCTTTGAACTGGAATATATGGCAGAGTGGACTCAGATAACACCGCTGAACCCCAGGTTTCAGCGGTGGGCGGGAGAGCTTCTGCACAATTAAAACTTGTGCACCAGTTTGATCTGGCCACAGTGGTCCACGCTCGTTACATCCCGAATAGACTACTGCAACGCACTCTACGTGGGGTTGCCCTTGAAGACGGTTCGGAAACTTCAACTGGTTCAGCTAGCGGCAGCCAGGTTGCTCACCGGAGCATCATACAGGGAGCACACCATCACCTGCTGCGTCAGCTCCACTGGCCGACGGTTCAGTTCCGAGCCCAATTCAAGGTGCTGGTTTTGACCTAAAAACCCTGTACGGTTCCGGTCCAGTGTATCTGTCCAAACGTATCTCCCTCTACGTCCCACCCCGGAGTCTGAGATCATCTGAGGGGGCCCTGCTCTCGACCTCACTGCTATCCCAAGTGAGGCTGGTGGGGACGAGGAGCAGGGCCTTCTCAGTGGTGGCCCCTTACCTGTGGAACTCACTCCCAGGGGAAATTAGGGCATTGACATCCCTCCTTTCCTTCAGGAGGAAGGTAAAGACGTGGTCGTGGGACCAGTACTTCGGGCAATCTGCTAACTAGATAAGGACAACCAGACAAATAGGACTAACAGGACTGACAATTGTGGAATTGGAATTTGAACTATGAGATAGCGAACGCTGACCGGCAATATGGAGTAATTGGTTTGTATTGGTTTGTATGGATTTTTATTGGTCTTATTGGTTTTATCGGTTTATAGATGTAATGTAGAATTGTGGTTTGATTGCTAATGTATGCTATTTTGTTTTATTACTGTTGTGTGATACGGGCATCGAATTGTGCCTTGTTTTTGTAAGCCACCTTGAGTCCCCTTCGGGGTGAGAAGGGCGGGGTAGAAGTAAACCAAATAAATAAATAAATACATAATCTCAGGGCCCTTCCAGACAGTGTGGACTCAGATAAGAAGACAGTTCCACCTTGTTTCCTGTGCTATGCTAATAATATCATATCATATTGCTCCATCCATGTTTAACATCTACACAAATGACCAGCCACTGCCAGAAGGGACAGAGAGTTTCATCTATGCTGATGATCGTGCCATTACCGCTCAAGCAGGGAGCTTTGAGATGGTAGAACAGAAGCTTTCCGAAGCTCTAGGTGCTCTTACTGCCTATTACAGGGAAAACCAGCTGATCCCCAACCCATCTAAAACAGACATGTGCCTTTCATCTCAAGAACAGAGAAGCACCCTGAGCTCTGAAGATCACCTGGGAAGGAATCCCACTGGAGCATTGCAACGCACCCAAATACCTGAGAGTCACTCTGGACCGTGCTCTTACCTACAAGAAGCATTGCCTGAACATCAAGCAAAAAGTGGGTGCTAGAAACAATATCATACGAAAGCTGACTGGCACAACCTGGGGATCACAACCAGACACAATGAAGACATCTGCCCTTGCGCTATGCTACTCTGCTGCTGAGTATGCATGCCCAGTGTGGAACACATCTCACCACGCTAAAACAGTGGATGTGGCTCTTAATGAGACATGCCGCATTATCACGGGGTGTCTGCGCCCTACACCACTGGAGAAATTACACTGCTTAGCCGGTATTGCACCACCTGACATCCGCCGGGAAGTAGCAACCAATAGTGAAAGGACCAAGGCAGAGACATCTCCAGCTCATCCCCTGTTTGGGTATCAGCCAGCATGTCAACGACTTAAATCTAGACATAGTTTTCTAAGATCTACAGAGACACTCGCTGGAACACCTCAGCAAGCGAGAGTCCAAAAGTGGCAGGCTCAAACCCAGAACCTCAACCAATGGCTGATACCAAATGAGAGACTCCCCCCTGGGCACACAGAGGACTGGGTGCCTTGGAAGGCGCTGAACAGACTGCGCTCTGGCACCACGAGATGCAGAGCCAACCTTCAGAAATGGGGCTACAAAGTGGAATCCTCGACATGCGAGTGCGGAGAAGAGCAAACCTCTGACCACCTGCTGCAATGCAACCTGCGCCCAGCCACATGCACAATGGAGGACCTCCTTGCAGCAACACCAGAGGCACTCCAAGTGGCCAGATACTGGTCAAAGGACATTTAATCAACTACCAAACTCACACATTTTGTATTTTCTCTGTCAGTTTGCTTTGTTCTGTTAAAAATGTAATATAATTGACTGGCTGCCCTGACACGAGAAAAATAAATAAATCATTGTTTGAGTCCACAGTGCTCTCTGGGTGTAGGTGAACTGCAACTCCAAAACTCAAGGTCAATGCCCATTAAACCCTTCCAGTATTTTCTGTTGGTCATGGGAGTTCTGTGTGAAAAGTTTGGATCAATTCCATCGTTGGTGGAGTTCAGATGCTCTTTGATTGTAGTGAACTATAAATCCCAGCAACTACAACTCCCAAATGACAAAATATTAACCCCAACCCCACCAGTATTCTGATTTGGGTATTTTGGGTATTTGTGCCAAATTTGGTCCAGTGAATGAAAATACATCCTGCGTATCAAATATTCATATGACGATACATAACAGCTGCAAAATTACAGTTATGAAGTAGCAATGGAAATAATTTTATGGTTGGGGGTCACCACAACATGAGGAACTGTATTAAGAGGTTGCGGCATTAGGAATATTGTGAAAAACCGATATAGGGGGATCTGGATTCCTTTGGCATGCTTGATATGGTGAATAAAGAAAGCCAGTAGTTTGAGAATTAGATTATGACCTTGAAGACTAGGATTCAAATGTGCACTTTGGTTACATTTTCAGTGTCGAGATGAAGGCAAAGGCATATCATATCTGAATATATTTTGCCAACAAAATGGCACGATGGATTTATCTTAGGGTCACTATAAGTCATAAATGCCTCAGACACACAATAACAACAAAAAACAAGATCTCGACCCATTTCAATACATAGAATAGGTAGGAAAAGTAAGGCAGCTGGGACAAATGTAGTCAGGAAAGTCAGTTGTTTACAGATATCTATTTTTGTTTTAAAGATGTCTGCTCATTGAGGACTGCGACCATTAATTGCAAGTGAAGAGTCAGTAGGAAATAAACAACATAAATAAGGATTTTTTTTCCATCTCCTTCTTTAATGATCTTACCATAAAGCTACTGTCTTGGCTTTGGTAGCTGGTTTGTATTTATAAAAATCATTCAATCTAATACAGATTTCAATGCATGAGGACGGGACATTTCTGGACGTTTAGATCCCAGTTCCTTATTGACAACAGTATAAAAAAAATCATCTGCTTCACAGGCAAAGGCTCTATCAGTGCTTATTATGGTACACCTGAAGGCAAATTACGTTCTTGACAATCCACGATTATCCAGGTCCTTCACCTGTTAAGAAAAAAATAACCACATTAGTTTTCTGCATTTCAGTTTCAGCATGGAGAAGGTCCCTAATTAATTTAAAAAGCAGGACTTCTAGATTATTGTTTTCACAGCAATTACTTCCTCAACATAGCTCAATATAGGCAAATATGAAATATGAGCTAACAGACAGGGATTGGAACTATGTTTCCTATTAATGTGCCTCATTCACTTGCCACAAACAGCCTCTTCCTTTCATTCTTAGGGCTGCAGTTTTGCAGGCTATTAAAGAGATACTCGGAAACTCCACACAGACATATAACCCAGAATATCAAGGCAGAAAATCCAACAATACCTGAGTCCACACTGCCATATATTCTAGTTCAAAGCAGATAAAGTGGTATTTTATTCAGCTGTGTGGAAGAGAGCTCCAGTTGACTCCTCTCCCTTCCATAGACTTCACATGTTTATTTATTTGTTTACATTATTTATATTCCGCCCTTCTCACTCCACAGGGGACTCAAGGCGGAGTACAATGTACATATACATGGCAAATATTCAATGCCATAGACACACAACATATATAGACAGACACACAGAGGCTATTTAACATTCCAGCTTTTGATGAGGGTATTCTGGCCACAAGAAGCACTGCCTGAGCATCAAGCAAAAAGTGGGCGCTAGAAACAATAGCATACGAAAGCTGACTGGCACAACCTGGGGATCACAACCAGACACAGTGAAGACATCTGCCCTTGCGCTATGCTACTCTGCTGCTGAGTATGCATGCCCAGTGTGGAACACATCTCACCACACTAAAACAGTAGATGTGGCTCTTAATGAGACATGCTGCATTATCACAGTGTGTCTGCACCCCACACCATTGGAGAAATTACACTGTTTAGCTGGTATTGCACCACCTGACATCCACCGAGAAGTAGCAGCCAATAGTGAAAGGACCAAGGCAGAGACATCTCCAGCTCATCCCCTGTTTGGGTATCAGCCAGCACATCAACAACTTAAATCAAGACATAGTTTTCTTAGATCTACAGAGACACTTGCTGGAACACCCAGCAAGCAAGAGTCCAAAAGTGGCAGGCTCAAACCTGAAGCCTCAATCAATGGCTGATACCAAATGAGAGACTCCCCCCTGGGCACACAGAGGATTGGGCGACTTGGGGGGCACTGAACAGACTGCGCTCTGGCACCACGAGATGCAGAGCCAATCTTAAGAACTGGGGCTACAGGGTGGAATCCACAACATGCGAGTGCAGAGAAGAACAAACCACTGACCACCTGCTGCAATGCAACCTGAGCCCTGCCACATGCACAATGGAGGACCTTCTTGCGGCAACACCAGAGGCACTCCAAGTGGCCAGATACTGGTC